CCGTATTATGATTCATAATATCAATGTCTACCGTCAATAATAAACAAATTCAAAGAGAAGTGTGTGTGGGAAGGTGTATTTGTGTGTGTGTGTGTGTGTGTGTGTGTGTGTGTGTGTGTGCGTGCGTGCGTGCGTGCGTGCGTGCATATGTGTGTGACAAAGCAACAAATGATGAGAATAAAGAAAGCTGTTACGGTCCGAAGCAAGTTCCTATATATATATGCAAAATAGGAAACTAACCAGAAGAGCAGAGATTCTATAATACTAGGCCTGCGTTATAAATACTCTGTACACCCGGTTAAAATAACAGCTAATGTACTAGTCTACCACGTCTACGTGAGCAGAAGCATCTTGACTGGAGTATAGACAATCTACACCGTCGACGAAAAGCGATTAGATAGGATTCTAATGCATATGTGTTCTGCCTTACGAACTACGCGATTCCAAGCAGTCAAGTAGTATCATATTTACCAATCTACTGTGTTGGTCGGTGTTAGTATCGCTTGGGGCGTAATGCCCTACCTTACAGATAGTCGTATACAATACTGTATAGTGTTTGCGAGTACTGGCATTTCGGCGCATTATCACTCAAAGACAATTCATGAAATACAGTCGATCTTATGTGCATAAAAAGGTGGGAAGAGGCCAGTAGTAGGTACGCAATAACAAATGTCGATCTCAATATTTCAGTTCAGGGGAAACGCAATGCCTTTCACAGGTAATTCTAATGTATCTAGGGTTTGCAGGAGCGGGAATCTTAGCGCGTTACCTCTCAAAGGCAACGCTATTCGGTCGATCTTATATGCTTAAAACACGAGGAGCCGGTCAGCAGTAGGTGCGTATCTCACATACTTATCTCAATACATTACTTCAATGAACCAGTTAATGAAAGGTGCTGATCGTAAAGCAGAAGTTTAGTTTGTGTAGAAGCGACGTTGCCGTAAGTAACAACAGTTACACATAGAGCACGCGGTATTAAAACAAGGCACCAGCAGTTACTGGTACATGCGTAAATGAGCGAGTTAAGTAACCGAAATGCACAAAGAGACATAATAGATTAGTTGACAAGAGAATAAATGTAACGAGGGCAATTTTACACCAGCAAGTAAACGTGACTGTAGAGCAATGGCGCTGCGAAGTGCAAACATTATACAACAGCCGTCAGAAAGTACGAAGCACAGAAAGAACAGCTGCCAATTTATAAGCAACGCCGATATACAGTTATGTATTTCATTTACTCCTACATATATCATATAATATTTTATTTGTAAACATTGCATTTTTATTAAGAAGACACATTGTAGCGCTGAAATCTAGTCGATAGATATCGGGTAAAATAATAACCATCTTAATTTTTCGAAAATAAATATAATATCTTCGTGCCAATATTGCGCATACTGGCGCATTGTATATAGTCGATTACCCTCTCCCCCTCCCCCACACACACACCTTCCGCATTGCGCTATTACGCGGTAGGAAGGTATACTTGCTCTGATTTCTCGCATGTTACTGCTGTGTTGTGCTATGCATGGTTATTGAACAAACGTGTGTTCAAGAATGCATGTTACTACTGTGCTACTGCATGCGTTCATTATGATTGTGTTCATTGAAGTAAGAGATTTGGATAGACACCTTTTATAGCTAACTAATGGTGGGTGTGTGCTCATTAAATTACAATTATAATTTCAACGGAATACAATATTATTTTATTTATTTATTAAATGCTAGCCACAAACCTGCATATCGCCATCTATTGGCTGTTTTATATTTTGTTAGAGTCAAGTATGTCGGGAAAACTGGTAATTATTAAATTGAGATATCGGGATTTATGTTTTAGGGCAAAACTACTGCGACAAGTATATTCTGTCTCTTTTAAAAGTATATATATATAGCCATAATAGGCCCATTGATTATGCAAAGTTGACGAATGCTACAGTAACTGGCACCTTGTGTAGTTAATAAGTACA